CAGCTGTCAACATCCGGTCTAACCGATCACAGAAGAACATGTTCTCCTGAGACCGATGAGGACGGGTACTCATGAGCATGCAACCACTGAATTTGGACACAGCCTTCTAGTTCCTGAAACAGGCGCACCACAGCTTCTGGTCCCCAGAGTACGGCTTACAAGGCATTCATTCCTACTAGAGACTAGGATTGTCACGGTAACCGGTGTGGCGGTAAACCCCGGTAAAAAAGTTGACAATAATAATAACCGTCTTGTTTTTAAAAAACTATATTATCTCGGTGGATTACCGTGGCTGCGGTGTAGGCGCGGTGACCCTTACCAGCCACCGTATCATCTGCTGAAGTTGTCGGCGGCACATGCGCACTTTGTTGTTTACAACCAAAACTTTATTGAAGCTAAAGCTGAAATAATGGCCAAAGGAGGAGACGGCAGTGCTCAGGAGGACATTTATTATCCCTCAAAGAAGACAAAGTGGGAAGTACGGGAATCTTTTGGATATTTGATCTTGATATTTGGGGCGACAGTGGCACAGGAGTTAAGTGCTCGCCCCGTAATCGGAAGGTTGCAGGTTCGAGCCCCGCTCAGTCTGTCGCTGTCGTTGTGTCCTTGGGCAAGACACTTAACCCACCTTGCCTGCTGGTGGTGGTCGGAGGGACCGGTGGCGCCTGTGCTCGGCAGCCTCGCCTCTGTCAGTGCGCCGCAGGGCAGCTGTGGCTACATGGTAGCTCATCCCCACCAGTGTGTGAATGTGTGTGTGAATGGGTGAATGACTGATTGTGTTGTAAAGCGCCTTGGGGGCTTCCAGGACTCTAGAAGGCGCTATATCAAATACAGGCCATTTACCATTTGAAGAATGCCGAGGGACAGTTGATAGAAGACGGCTATCCTGTTTGCAGCACGTGCAGAAAAAGTGTCTGTGAAAGGCAGCAACGCTTCAAATCTCATGACACATCTGCGTGACCATCACCCACAACTCTACAGTCAACGCAAGGCAAGCTAACGTTAGCGTTTTAGCTAAAATGCGTGATCCGAGGATTTGGGTTGAGGGAGAATGCAACGAGTCGCAATATAAAGCAGCCGCAGCGCCGCTACCTGCATATAAACCGTGTCGCGGACACCGCCATGTTGAAATGACGCTATGCATTACGGGGCTCCCAGGGGCAGATAAGAGTTGGTCTCTCTCCGAGAATAATTATGAATTTAACAACGATTACTGCCTGATGACATTTTCCCACATCTGCAAAGCTCACTGGAAGGACACAAACCGAGGACAATATCTTCCTGATATAGGGTTTATTACTCAAGTAAGGGTTAAAAAGTATCTGATTGGAAGACTACTTGAGTACTGAGTATCATCTGATCTAATATTTTTAAAATGATGACATCAAACAGACATAAAATAAGAAGTTATGGACAAATATTGGTGTTTTAAAGACTAAAGGGGAAAAATGTAAACAAATAAACAACATAATTACAAAATAACACATTTTAGGCAAAATTTAGACACAAACCGAGGACAATATTTTCCTGATATAGGGTTTATTACTCAAGTAAGGGTAAAAAAGTATCTGATTAGAAGACTACTTGAGTACTGAGTATCATCTGATCTAATATTTTTAAAATGATGACATCAAACAGACATAAAATAAGAAGTTATGGACAAATATTGGTGTTTTAAAGACTAAAGGGGAAAAATGTAAACAAATAAACAACATAATTACAAAATAACACATTTTAGGCAAAATTTAGACACAAACTGAGGACAATATTTTCCTGATATACAGGGTTTATTTTGAAAATGTAACATGTTTAAAAAAATACGGCGATAATACCGAAAAACGTGATAATTTTGGTCACAATAACCGTGAGGTTACATTTTCACACCGTGACAACCCTACTAGAGACCACTGCAAATGTATTAAAAATATGAGTAAAACACCACTCTAAATCCTCCTGCTCGTGTACTTTTCACCTTCATTAAACACTTGGCGTCCTCTCACATCCTGTCGGTGCACTTTGACAGATTTTAAAGGTCATCGTCTAAATCTTTCACTGGTCCCAGTTTGAGTCAGACCACCTGGGACCAGTTCAGCCTTTTTACAGCCCACAGAGGATGGTGATTGCTTCATGTTGTACTGATGCATCAAATAAGCTCCATGTTTCTCATTTTCATGGGAGTTCATTTACTTTTATTGATTTCCTGACAGAAAAAAAGCTCATTTTGTAGCTTCACAAAAGGAGCAGCCTGTTAAGTCTGTTTGACCCAGTGGATTAGAGCTTCTAGCTGATGTTATTATTAGTTTTATGCATTCAGAGAAGTCTTTGTGTCTGAATAATTTAAGTTAATGAACACCAACACAACCAGGAGGAGCTTGGTGATACTTTATTATAGAAACTTCACACACATGAAGATGTACTTAATCTCATTATGTTAAAAAAAATCAGCTTTTTGGTATTTTTGTTTAAGCGACACAAAATTAGAAGCTAATTGTTGACATTTTTGTGTGATACTCCTCTTTTCTGCATCAGCTAACAAATCCCTTCTCACTGGATCAGTCACGGACTCGTGCGCTTCTTGTTTTATTAGATTAATGTCTACGATTCTCCTCCACGCACGCTGGCTTTAAGCTTGTCGCCATGAAGGCAGGAAGACGTGTCGGATGAGAGCTGATCATCAAAGCCATGTAAATTCCTGTCTGCTGCAGGCGGAGGTTCCCTAAGAAAGACATTTACAGCTGGAAAATACCATCATTTGGTAATTTGCCCTTAGCGATCGCTGAAACTGAACACACACACACACACACACACACACACACACACACACACACACACACACACACACACACACACACACACACACACATCAGCAGCTCGAGAGTAATTCACCCCTCAGGATTTCATGTTTCTATGGAGAAGCATGTCTATTTTTAGAAGTGATATAAATAGATAGTTCTGTGGCTCCAGTGCTTAAAATTCTGTCTGACTACACCCAGCAGCCATGTTTTCTATATTATTTTTTATATCCGTGTGTCACTGTTGATTTGAAGTTCCACCCACCCTCCCCGTGAGTGTTTATGTGAGTGACGGTCGGATCATCAAACGGTTTCCTGAGGAAAGTGCAGAAAATAAAGTGTAATTTGTCTCAGTGACATTAGTGCTGAGCCATGTGATCTCAGAACAAACTGACAACGAGGCTTGATGCGAAACGTCACAGAAACAAGGTCTGGGACTCCGGAACGGGTGACGGGAGTCGCCCGACTCAGAGAAATCACTTTATTCTGATAATAAATTCACTAAAATATTTGTTTCCCAGATCCTAAAACAGAAATGATCAGGCATCGGTCACCAACAGCCTCATTAGCAGACTCGCCTGATGAGTAAAAGTGGACACAAAGCAGCAGCAGAGGGACACAAGCGACTTATTGTGGAGGCGAAGTGGGGGTGAGACAGGCAGCAACTTTGTAGTCGTGGAAACGGTTGCTAGGTAGCAAACTGAGGCATCTCCCAGACAAACGGGACAGAGATCTGATTGTGATGCAATCAAGGTGATGAAACATTTACAGCGAGGACTAAAATAAAGAAAAGTTTGATGGTTGTTTATTTTTTAGAAGAGTGTGCGTACGTGTGTGTGTGTGCGTGCGTGCGTGTGTGTGAGTGTGTGTGCATGCGTGCGTGCGTGTGTGTGTGCATGCGTGTGCGTGTGTGCGTGCGTGTGTGCATGCGTGTGTGTGAGTGTGTGTGTGCGTGCGTGCATGCGCGTGTGTGTGTGTGTGCGTGTACGTGTGTGTGTGTGTGTGTGTGTGCGTGCGTGTGTGCATGCGTGTGTGTGAGTGTGCGTGTGTGTGTGCGTGCATGCGTGTGTGTGTGCGTGCGTGTGTGTGTGTGTGCGTGTGTGTGCACATGTGTGCGTGTGTGTGTGTGTGTGTGTGCGTGCGTGTGTGTGAGTGTGCGTGCGTGCGTGTGTGCATGCGTGTGTGTGCATGTGTGTGCGTGAGTGTGTGCGTGAGTGTGTGCATGCGTGCGTGTGTGCATGCGTGTGTGTGTGTGGAGGGGTAATTGTTACAGTTTATCCCACCTAAAATTCTAGTTTTTTTTTAAACAAAAAAATGTAAGTTAAAAAAAAAAACAGTCTCCATTACAGAACATATACGGGCAAACCGTGCCGGTCCCAGCAGGTTCTGTCCGCAGCTCCCATGGTGGCCCCACAGGGGTTTGCACTCCTAGATTCTAACGGGCCCTCGTGGGTTTTCAGAAGGACCCAGATGCTTTGACTTATACAAAGGCCCATTTAAATCTATGAGTGCAGACCTCTGTGGGGCAACCATGAGAACTGCGTACAAAACCTGTCTGGACCTGCATGGTTTGCCCTTAAATGTCCATATGGGACCCAGCCATGTACAGGTGAAACTCGAAAAATTACAATATCATGCAACAGTTCATTTATTTCAGTAGTTCAACTTAAAAGGTGAAAGGTAAAAGGTTACACGCAGCAAAGCCAGACACTTCAAGCGTTTATTTGTTAGAACTGTGACGATGGCGTACAGCTGATGAAAACCTCACATTCACAATCTCAGACTATCAGAATATTGGAAAAACGTTCAATATTTTAGACTTAAAGTGTCACATTCTAATCAACGGATGAATCCCAAACACCTGGTAAAGGTTCCTAAGCCTTTAGATGGTCTCGCAGTCTAAATTGGATTACTGACATAAATGGACTTTTGCACCATACTCTAGTTATTCAGAGTTTCACCTGTATCCTCGCTGGGACAGAAGCCAAGACTAGAGGAGCTCCAGGTGATTGTGATGACCCTTTTTTTAGATGAAAGTTGTAACAGCAAGGCTCTGCAACTCACATGAGAAAACCGAGGCACCTTACAGATGTTTGGAGACATTTTGGAAACTGGGAACGGCTGAAACGGTCTTCAATATTTAGTTTGAACAAAAGGTTGGAGCAAAATGACCTCCTTAAAACAGTCAGTGAGTGTTTGTGTGTTAACCTGTGTGAATCATCCTCAGCCTGCAACAGAGTGGTCCTGGAGAGCACTTGACGTGGGAGATGTCAGGAAGGAGGGAGAAGACGCGTCTCCCCCCCCACCCCCATTTGCATCGCCTCGTCTTCTCCGCTGCTGTGAAATCTGAGTGACAGAAAACAGGGACAAAGAGGACATCCCATTAATATGCTAATCTGTACGGGGACGACTTCAACACACGATGCAGAGTCAGGAATACGTGTGTGTCATCTGTGAAGCAAGCTGTGTAAAATCAAAGCTCAGAGTGGGGAGAGAGGGAGGCGGGAGGTGATGTGACAGCGCCGTGGAAAAAGAAGCTGAGACGACGTGAATAAAAATCCGAGAAGTGTGCGGGATCCCCGCGTCCCCCAACTATAAAACACAATCAGACTGAAAATCGGTGTGTTGTGTGTCGTTGCCGTGTGCAGCCTCCCTCGCTCTGTGAATCATCAATAATCCATGCACCCTGCTCTGGTAGGGAGACAACAGCTTATGTAAGAGTGTCAGGTCTGACCCGTCATGACCTGACTCGTGTCCAGAGGAGAAACACTCTGCTGTTTGTGGTGAATCAACTGACATCTTTCTTCACAATCCATTTGATTTGCTGCTGATTTGGCCGACAGCGGTTCCAAATGGCTTGGAAAGACGTTTGCCAGCGTCTGCTCAGCCTCACTGAGCCGAGGGGTGAGGCAGAACAGCCAACTCTTTCCTCCGCCGTGCTGCAGACTTCCCTCCGCCTGACGGAGAAAGACAGAGATAGACAGCCGGGGAGAGCGTCTCATCCCATTCCCCCTTATCTTCCTGACCAAACCCCCCCCCCCCCCCCCCCCCCCCGCCTCCAGAAAGCAATTTAAAGGCCAGAGAGAGAAGAGAGAGAGGCAGAATTGTGATAACGACGCAGACTTCAGGTTACAGAATCCCACACACGTGTTTACACACTGAAAACTCACTAGAGCACAAAGCGGTGAGTTTAAAACAGTTGAAAATTGACACACATGTTTTTGAGCATGTAGCTGAAGCCGATGACGACCATTTAAAAATGTCGTTTTTTTCACTCATGTAACTATGAAGGTCGGCACAAGTTCACCACTAGTCTGTGAGAAACTGGAAGTTTAAAATGGGAAAAACCCTTTTTTATGTCCCGACTCAAAGACCAACTTCACTGACCCGATGTAGTCAAAATTAGATTAAGAACAACATAAAACTCTGGATGAGTTTTCTGGTTTCTAAACAGGTTTTCTGTTGATTTTGGAAACATTTTTCACGTCCAAATTAAAAGATTTTCTGTAAATATTCAGATTAAGAGGAAAAAGTATCTGGTTTTGAATGATTTTATGTTTTTAATATTCAGCACAAAAAAAACGTTTTAAATAATTGTACTTCAGAGTAAACAAAAGACAGCGTTGGTTAAAAGTATTTGTCCCCTTGTAGATTAGCTTGCTTTAGTCAAAACAAAGTTTTCAAATGATGGTTTTATTGATCAAGGGAAATAAAATATCCAAACCGGCTTGGCCCTGTGTGAAAACGTTACGAGATCATCCAAAATAAAGCAGTGTGGAGTTCCCCAAGACTTTTGTGGAAAATACTCTATGAGATAAATGAGGATTTTTCTGTAATTAGTACATTTTTTTTACATCTAAAGTAAAACTAAAAAGAAAAATACCATAGCAACAGTAAAACATGGAGGTGGTAGTGTGATGATCTGATGCTCCTTTGATTCTTGAGGAGCTGGACGACTTTCCACAATTCATAGAAACCATGAATTCTGCTCTATACTAGAATATCCTGATGGTGCTTGTCCGACCTTTGACATTATAGGTGTGAAACACTGAACTCAGCCATCTTGGCTCGTGATGGGGAAGGCTGTTGTTGCTTAATGTTCAGGAAACAGTAGAGAATGTCTCAGCTAGCAGAAGCTAACCATTAGCATTAGCAGCTCCGCCACTCGGCAGAAGCTCCTCCAGGCTTGTATTTGTTGAACTAAAACATCCATGTTGCAGAGCAAATGGTGTTAGTGATAGACTCAGGTTGCTGTTATCCAGTCTGTGGTAAGATGTCCAAACATCAAGAAATAAGGGTCCAAATCCTGCCGTGTGACAAGGTTTTGGGGACGAGTTTAACCCAAGACATGCAGAATTCAACGGAACCGCAGCGTCTGAGGAGGGGAGAGCAGAGGAACAGGTGAGTCCGGGGAGGTAAGTCTAAATTAGGAAGGTGCAGAGTAAAGACTTACGGGAAGCTGGGGGCTGAGGAATTGGGGAGGGCAGGTGGAGTGCCGGGGTGAATCCAAGAGGGGGTGTCCAGGAGAGCAGGAGAGCGAGCGAGTCCATGAGATTTGTGGGGCACAGGTGAGTAATCCAGCGGGATCGTGGAAATGTGCAAGTAGTCAATCAGAGGAGCCACAGGAAAACCAGAGAAGCTTCAGAAGTCCAAGGAGATCCTGAGGAGTCAAGGTAAGGTCCACAAACGATCCAGAAATCCTGGGAACAGGTAAGCACAAGTATATCCAAAAAGGGTTCTAAAACCCAAAAATCACTAGAGTTAACCAGGAGACACAAAGGGCTGGAACTACCAAGTTGTAGTTAATCATCCGGCGTCGAGATGTGTTCTCCTCCTCCTCTTATAGCTGGACCCGCTGATGAGCTGCAGCTGCAGCCTCCCTCTCCTGAAACACAGCAGCTCAAAGATGGAACAGAAATGAGAGGAGCACTCACCCCGGCACATGACACCGTGTTCTGCCACAGCAGACTCATCTGTACTGATCCAGGCTAGGGATTCGATCCCACTAGAGACCACAGCAAATGTCTTGATTGAACAAGTATTCCACACCTTTAACTCTTCCAAATCAAAAGAATCTTCAAAGAGTAACGGGACAAGACTTCTCCACAGCAACGTGCTGTAACCAGCCTTTTAGGAGTGCACAGGAACCCTGGGGACCACTTGAAAAAGGTAAACCCCAGTTAGGTTGAACGCTTTCCATTCTGCTCCAGGAAGTAATTAGTTGTGACCTGGATGACGGTGTTTGATTAAATACCAAAGCGGTTTAATCTACGACTCCCTCAGACGACGGTCCTATCTGGTTTTACAGTTCTTCATTAGAGACCGTCTTCTCTCATCTAAAACAGCGTCCTTATCAGGTAAGCGTGCATAAAACAGGAAGTGATCTGCAGAAAATAACGTATCAGAGCAGCAGTCTGCTTCATAGAGTCGGGTCTGAGATGGTTTATAAACAAACGTGATGTAATGAGAACAAAAAGGCGCATTCATCAAAATATCTGAAATGTATAAATCCGTAGAAATAAAAGCTATTTTTTTTGTCTTCTGCTGGATGAAAGCTCGGCTCTTTAGCAGATAAATTCTGCTGTTTCAGAGGAATTTGGGATTACAGTGACAGGCAATCTACTGTGAGGTTATAATCTGCTCTGCTGAGTCTCGTGGTGCTTTTGTTCTTAATCCAGCCAGCACAGGTGCTGTAGGAGCAGCATTTTAGGGGCCATGAAATGAGAAAATTACTCTTATCGGAATCAGAAAAAATGCCTAAATCAAAAAGTTTAAACATTCTTTGTAGATTAAACCAAGTTTAGTAGCTTTTCTAAAGCAAACATCCCTCTTTCACCACCTCTGAAGCCAACTAATTAACACATGACATTTTAAATCCTTACTGAAGCAAAAACAATTTCCCACTGGCCAGTAATGTCCTGTAACCTTGTTGCCAAGCAACTGCTGGGAGAAAAAGTCCCACAAATTCCTGCTTTTCTATTGTAAGGCATATAGTTTATGTATGTTTTCAGAAAAAAATATTAAATTTCAAGTGTTGCTGCCAGTTTACTTTGTAATCACTTAATAAAACAGAATGCTAGTTTTCTGATTTCAGATCTAAACAATTACAGACCCGTAAAGAGTTTTCCCAGTTATTATCCTGCCAGAACTGCTGGGTCAAACAGATTTCTGTGTAAAACAGAAGTCATCCCAACAACATCCAAAGGTGTTCCTCAGAGAACAATACTGGTGACACTCCTATTTGTTTATTTAAAGCAGCCTTTTTGATAGAGGAGCATAAGAAACTAATTTATAGATTTTCAAAATTCCCTTTTTTACCGATTTACTGGTATAGTCTAATTCTTAATTTCCAATACCAAAAATGACCTGAATAAGAAGGGTGACCTGAGGGTGTGTTCCAACTATAGGGGGATCACACTCCTCAGCCTCCCTGGAAAGGTCTACTCCAAGGTACTGGAGAGGAGGGTCCGATCGATAGTAGAATCTCAGATTGAGGAGGAGCAATGTGGATTTCGTCCTGGCCGTGGAACTGTGGACCAGCTCTATACCCTTGCAAGGGTGATGGAGGGGGCATGGGAGTTTGCCCAACCAATCCACATGTGTTTGGTGGATTTGGAGAAGGCTTATGACCGTGTCCCCAGGGGCACCCTGTGGGGGATGCTCCAGGAGTATGGGGTGGGTGGCTTTCCGTTAAGGGCCATCCAGTCCCTTTACCAGAGGAGCATGAGTTTGGTCCGCATAGCCGGTAGTAAGTCGGACCTGTTCCCAGTGAGGGTTGGACTCCGCCAGGGCTGCCCTTTGTCACGGGTTCTGTTCATTACCTTTATGGACAGAATTTCTAGGCGTAGCCGTGGTGTGGAGTGTGTCGAGTTTGGTGGCAGGAGAATCTCGTCTCTGCTTTCTGCGGATGATGCGGTCCTCCTAGCTTCATCCAGCTCTGACCTTCAGCTCTTGCTGGGTAGGTTCGCGGCCGAGTGTGAAGCGGCTGGGATGAGGATCAGCACCTCCAAATCTGAGACCACGGTTCTCGACCGGAAAAGGGTGGCTTGCCAACTCTGGGTCGGGGGAGAGGTCCTACCTCAAGTGGAGGAGTTTAAGTATCTCGGGGTCTTGTTCACAAGTGAGGGTAGGAGGGATCGGGAGATCGACAGGCGGATTGGTTCGGCGTCTGAAGTGATGCGGACGCTGAGCCGATCTGTCGTGGGGAAGAGGGAGCTGAGCCAGAAAGCCAGGCTCTCGATTTACCGGTCGATCTACGTCCCAATCCTCACCTATGGTCATGAGCTTTGGGTAATGACCGAAAGAACGAGATCGCGGATACAAGCGGCCGAAATGAGTTTCCTCCGTAGGGTGGCCGGGCTCAGCCTTAGAGATAGGGTGAGGAGCTCGGACATTCGGGAGGGACTCGGAGTAGAACCGCTGCTCCTCCGGGTTGAAAGGAGTCAGTTGAGGTGGTTTGGGCATCTGGTCAGGATGCCTACTGGACGCCTCCCTGGGGAGGTGTTTCGGGCATGTCCTGCCGGCAGGAGGCCCCCGGGTCGACCCAGGACACGTTGGAGAGGTTACATCTCCAATCTGGTCCGGGAACGCCTTGGGGTCCTACCGGAGGAACTGGTGGAGGTGGCCGGGGAGAGGACGGTCTGGAGCTCCCTAGTTGGGATGCTGCCACCGCGACCCGGACCCGGATAAGCGGAGGAAGACGACGACGACCTGAATAAAAAACCTGATGGGGACATCCCCAATAATATGTGCATGGCATGTAAAGGTTGTATCATTAAAAGCATAAAAAAACGGAACTTCAGTGATTACATTATAGTCAATATTAGCTGATAACAATCTGACATCCCTACTATTTTGTTATTTTTATGCTGATGATTCTGTAATTTATCCAGTTGCATTTACACTAAATCAAACCAAAACATCTTTTAGCACCACCTCGTGCACTTTGAGTCATCTCAAACTAAATTTTGATGTCAACACTGAACACAACTTTGAAATACCATTTTTAAAAATCTCCATAAATTAAACCAGGACTTAATTTGTCCTGATTAATGTTAATTGGGTCATCAGCAAATAAAGAAAATCACTGACTTAATGCAGCAGTGGACAAACTAGTTAATGTGTAAAGACACCTTCTCATTGTTAAATATTCCTAATTTTATTTAATTAAATGTTTCCCCAGGAATAAATAGATTAAAATAATTGCACCCATGAACAACCTGTTTCCAATAATGCATCTCCATTAAAAATGTCCCTGCTGCAACACGCCTGTGTGAACATGACAAGAGAAAAAAATCTGTGCAAATTCTCCAATGTTCACATATTCATTTTAAGAAATGAGGCAAGTTCATAGATTAATGTGAAACTTAAAATGTTTATTTTTTCCCAGTAACACACACTTCTATGAACGCACAACACATTTAATGACTTATTTACCAGCCAGTCGCATCATGTGTCCCGGGACTTGGTGTTATTTTGAAATGTGTTGCAAGTCACGTCAGGTTGTCTCAGTCTGATCTGTGATGAGCGATGAGTCAGACTAGAGCCAGATGTGTCTATCAGTAAGATTAAAGCATCAAGGATTAAAACTGCCCGTCTAAAACCAAGCAGCCCCCCCCCCCCACTTGTGTATTTCTGAGCACAAGTAAACTTTATTTACTGAAGCTCTAATAACTGACGTGTCATTTCTCTGAAATCAGACTCCGTGGTAAAATCCCATTATTTGGTTGAATAACAGAAAATCATGATTAAAGAAAAAAAAACTGTAGCCACACTACTTAAAAGTTTACTGGAGCCTACTTTGCTTAACTAACATTGCCTTTTATAAATAAAACCCTTTTTTCAGATCAGGTTTTACAAAGTGAGAAGTTTGAACGTTGAAGACGAAGGGCACTGAGATATTTGAGTGACTTGCTGTTAAAATTCCTCAAAAACAAGATTTACGGGTTGGGTTCATCTCCAGTGCAAAATCTAATGACCAGAGGTCGCCACCTAGTGGACATTTTAGATTACTACACTTATAGTGTTCTCTCATGGAGGGACACCTGCAGGCACGCAACACAAGGAAACTTTGAAATGACTCAATTTATTTTTGGACAGAATTCATCATTACAAAAACATCCGGAGCTGGTCCACAAAGCAAAACCACGGGACTTATTTACAGGTGTGTTATCTACAAAAAACAAAACCATGAAGACTTTTCCTGAAACAGGCAAAAATGGAGAATTAGGAAAACCTGAGCAAGTGCTGGAACTCGTCGTCTGGCCCGAAAGCCAGACGCTCTTAACCTTTACGACCACAGCCAGGCCACCTCAGCCCTTCAGTTACTCAGGATGAGCCCCAGTAATCCACTTCTCTTTACTCTCCTTTTTGATCTGTCACAAACTCTTTAGGAGGCCTCCTCGTCGATCTTTGGAGCCAGGTAGTATTTGATGTGGCCCATATCGGCTATCTTGTACTCCACCACTGTAAAATAAATAAATAAAGTCAAACCTGAGCTTTTAGATTTGTAAACAAATTCCACAATTACAATCTAAATGTACCGAGGGGAATATCAGCGGACATGCTGAGGGTGACCGTCTTGGACAGCGGCGTGGCCTTTGTGAAGAAGTTCAGGTAGTTCAGAGCAAAGATCAATTGGACTGGCTCATTCATTTCAATGGTGACCTGAAAACAGACGAGTCAGGCGAAGTTATGCACCAAAACATCGCCAAGTTAAGCGGATTGTGACTAAACTCATTCAAACACTCACAGCCTCCTCCTCTTTGTCTACGTTGCTGGTCTGCGACAGCTTGACGTTCCCCGTGCCCAGCTCTCCAGAGGCGGAGAACTTGACTCCATCTTTGGCGCAGGAGATCATTACGGCATCGCCAATCTGAGACAGGTCACGGCAGATACGCGCGAACTCCCCGGAGGGCATCTTCACCACACAGCTGTACTCCTGCTCCTGATGGGACGGGTCAGAGGAAAGCGCATGGGAAAGGATCATGGAAAATAAATGATCATCAGCAATTCACTTACTGGAATACCGAGCTGTTCCACATCCAGGTCCATCAGCTTCATCTCGTAGTCAGAAACCTTCTCCTGGTCTGCAAGACGACGTAAATCATACATCATTAATCACGAGGACGGAAACTAGACAAACGGATCAAACTTCATAAGTAAAGCCTTACTGAGGGTTTCGAAGACTAGAGCCAGCGTGTCAGCGTTGTCCTCCGCTCTGAGGGTGATTATGTCCTCATTTCCTGCACATTTCAGGATCTTTGACATACTAGAAAAAGAGAAAAGAAATAAAATTTAAAAATAAATCAGTGGAAATAAAATTGTTTTCGGTTTAAGATAAATTAAGTTAACCGATATGCATTTAGTATTAAATGTAATAAGATGCAGCTTACTGGAAAAACACGAGTTGATAGAAATGCCATAAAAGCAAGCAGGAGCGTTGCGGAACTGACGTCAGCGGAAGTGGAGGTTCCCGGGTTTAACACCATTTCGCGCCAACCTACCGGCAGACGATTTGGCGCCTAACCGCCTCCGTTCTGGTTCTGTGCTCCTTAAAACTGCGCCAGATGTAATGTAACGCAAAAGTTAACGGCCCGTCCATTATTACATTTAAAAGCAGCGCAGATGGGCAAAGAAACACGTCCGGGCTAATCCGCCATGATGATCAAGTACTTTCATTAGTCTTAATATAAACCATCGACATATATACTCTATATAACTGATATAAACTCAGTTTTAAACGCCAACATGGCGACGGGTTGTGACGCAGACCGAGGAGCCTCACAAAGCTTTTCATACCAAATTCTAAGAGCCAAACTTGGGACTTTCGTCGGCGACCAAAAATTAAAAAAGGCATTTTAATGAATAGCGGCTAGCGGAAAGTAAAGTTAAACGTGAACAACGTGTTGGGCAGAGTTTCTTTCACCTGCTGAGGTTGACTCCCATGGCCAGGTTCCTGTCGCAGCGGTACGAGTCGAAGCCGTCGTGCCGCAGCGTGAGCTGGACCAGCGAGACGTGAGAGGAGTCCATGCTCTGCAGCGAGATGCCGGAGGAGCTGACGTCCCAGCAGGCTTCTGTGATCAGATCCTTCAAGGCCTCCAGCACCTTCTTCAGGATGGAGCCCTGGACCAGGCGAGCCTCAAACATGGTTGCTGTGGAGTATGACGCAGAGCCTAAACCGAAGAGGAACCTTTCTGTCGCCTTTGGCGTCGCGTCGCAAAACAGAGGCAGTAAAGTAGAAAGCAGAAGGGAACAAACTCCTTAAAGTTCAGTCTTTGTGTCGCTCGACGTTTGGCCAGCTGTGCCACACGACTCCCACCGCTGCGTTTGAGCTCAGAACGCGCGCAAACAGCGGGTTTTATAACCTTGCGTCCTTACGTCATTTCCGTGCGCCAAATGCCCAAAAGAACACGTCAGCCATATTGGTGAGGGCACTCTTAGACGAGTTCCTTTCTAGTGAAATGCATTTACACGTATTAAATAATATCTGCCTTTAAAATATATATACCAATAATTTATATTCTGAGAAGAAAAAAAAAATCATTTATCCAGTGAAAAAATGATTGCATTTTTACAGCAAAATAGCATTTTAAAAGGATTAAAGGACTAATTCTGTCACGGCGAGGTGAGCGGGGGCAAGGATCCAAACAGGGGTGAAGAAGGCAGGTAAGCAGACTGACAGGAACGGTTAACTAAGGCTTTAGTAAATAACACGCTAGACATAGAAACAATGATCCAACACGAGACACAAAACTGAAGGGGTTTAAGTACAAGAGGGCTGGGAGCTTGGGTGACTGGGAAACGAGAGGCAGGTGGGAGCAATTAACATGGACACGTGACTAAACAGAACGGGGAGACAAGACGGGGTGTGACTATTTCCTGGTAGCGAACTTAGAATTTTTAAAGCTACATTTTCGTCCTCGTTCTTTTAGCAAATAATCTATCACGACTGTCAAAAATCAAATGACCCTATTTAAAGATTTTTGTCACAATTTTATTATTTTTATTCCCTGGTTTATTTAAAAAAATTGTTAAGTGTTACCTATGAGCATAATTCAGAGCAATGCATCAAAATTAGGTTTGAATATGGTGGGGGCTTCAGCTATCGCCTGGATTGAAGACTACCTGACAAACAGACCACAGTTTGTGAGGCTGAAGAACTGCACATCAAATTAGGCGATCAGTAACATCGGAGCACCACAGGGCACTGTACTCTCACCATTGCTTTTCACCCTGTACACCTCAGACTTCCAGTACAAATCAGAGACCTGTCATCTACAGAAATACTCAGATGACTCTGCAGTTGTCGGGTGTATCAGAGATGGACAGGAAGCTGAGTACAGAGAGCTGGTGGAGCGCTTTGTGGCATGGTGTGGAAACAATCATCTGACCTTGAATGTGAACAAAACAAAGGAGATGATTTTAGACTTCAGAAGAAACAGGGTGGAGTCAAACACTGTTTCCATCATGGGAGAAGAAGTGGAGGTGGTTGAGGAATACAAACACCTTGGAGTTCACCTGGACAACAGACTGGACTGGAGAAAGAACAGCGAAGCCGTTTACAAGAAGGGACACAGCAGACTGCACTTCTTGAGGACGCTTAGGTCCTTCAGTGTTTGTAGCAAGATGCTGCAGATCTTCTACAAGTCTGTTGTTGAGAGTGTAATCTCTTCAGCCATCATCTGTTGGGGTAGCAGCATCAGAAGCAGGGACCTGAAAAGGCTCAACAGCCTAATAACAAAGGCTGGTTCTGTTCTGGGGACGACTGTGGAACCGCTGGAGGAGATAATGCAAAGAAGGATTCTCCAGAGAATCAAGAAAATGATGGACAACCCTGAGCATTCTCTTCACAAGACTGTCTGACAACGGAAGAGTGTCTTCAGTCAGAGGCTTCTTCAGTTTGGCTGCAACACTGACCGCTACTGGAGATCCTTCCTGCCAACAGCCATTGTAATATACAACAACTCTTTGATGACTTGATTATTATTCTGAGCTACTACAGCAATCAATTTCCCTCTGGGATTAATAAAGTATTTCTGAATTTGAATGAAAATAAACTTTCACATAGAAATAAAACCTTAATAGCTGCGTTGGTTGGTGTTTGTTTTTAGTGTCGTCAAATTTATTCTCCACAAATGTACTCTAATACATCATATAGTTCAAATGTTTAACTGAAAGTGAAAAATACTCAATTAGCCCTACTTTAATTTTGGCTCACAGCCTCTAGTTTTATTCAATGCATGGTTGAATAATTAAAATCAGTTTTTATTTCAAACAGACTAAATATATGACAGCTGTAAAAAGTTTAATTTGGTCATGAGGAGTCCTTAGTTACAGACGCACAGCTTCATAAATCCCATAATAACTGTGTCCACAGTGGATGTGCAACACTGTTTTATTGTTTTAACCTTAGAGTTTACCGATTTAGGCTAACTTGTTTGACACTTTAATAGAAAAGTTATTAGAAAATAAATCAGCACCAAAGGGAGGAAAATATTCTGAAGTATAAAGAAATAACAAAACTCTGAAAAGTATTTCATTTATATTTGGGTGACTACAAAAGCAGTTTTAGTCTTTTTAAACTTGTTCCTTAAAGACTATCTGCAAGGATGTAGTTGGTTGCCATGGCGAGGATGGGGGCTCCAGTTGGAACACCGGGAAAAGGACCGCTGGACCCAGCAATGTCAATATGGGAATATGGCAGAGGTGCACCAGAATCCACACCATGCTGTGGAGAAATGAACAGATAAGTCGAACTTTCTAACACTCAGCAGGTGCTTCAGGATTTATTTCATATACAGTGATCCCTCGCTACTCCGCGGTTCGTTTATCGCAGATTTACGACTTCGCAGATTTTTTCTTTGGAGCCGTATTCAAGGGAAATTCGCCGATTCGCTGTATTTTTCTGTCATGTTTTGGGGTAAGTGACTAACCCAAGACATACAGAATCAGACTCGAGTCGAGGTAAAAAAAAAACAGTTTTATTTCTTTAATGATGAGGAGAACTGAGGAGAACTGAGGGCGCACTGGTGATCCAGCGGAGGGTAAACCCGGAAGCGGCAATGTCAGCGAACCGGTGAGTATCCAGAAGTCTCCAAGACGGGAGCGATTCCGGAGGAGAAGCGAGTCTGAAGGTAGGCATCAAAACACGACGAGTTCAGATTAAAACGAGTTCCAAGACGAGGTTTCAAAGTTACTATGGGCTAGAGACTACCAGGCAGTAGTTAATCATCCGGCGTCGTATCCGGATAACCGTCCTCCTTTTAAAGCCGTCCCGCTGATCAGGCTGATGAGGATCAGCTGCGCTCAAATTCCTGTTTTTTTTCATCAATTTCATCATAAAATGCACTTTTTGTAATAAAACTATAAAAAAAAAACAAGTAAAAATTTTTTTTCTATGTAAAGGGAGGGTTTTAAAAGTCTGAATACTGAATACGTACCTGTTAAATAAATACTGTAAATATGGTGTCCCTACTTCGCGGATTTTCACCTATCGCGGCCAGGTCTGGAACGCATCTACCGCGATACACGAGGGATCGCTGTATTCTGATGGTGTGCGAGCACCTTGTCCAGGCCCGAGGCCATGATGAGGAAGGCTGCAGGGGTCTGATGTCCTCGAGGTGTGGCCGAGGACGGCAGGTTGTTGCACTGCAGGATGTCCTCATACTCAGACTTTCCCTTATGGAACTCATAGTCTTCCCGTCTGATGGTGGAAATTTCAAACAAGTCTCCCAACTCCTCTCCAGCTGAAGGAGAACGTGAAAACTCGTGAGCTTCGGTTGTCGCTCAGAATGATGAGAAGTAGAATTACAGCTGACTTAACTCAGCTTTTCATTTGAGTGGCGACATTCGGTCTCACCTTTCTGCCACTGAGTAGCGTTCCCGCTGCGATGAGCTGGGCCGTTGTCCATGATGATCTACAAGAAGAGGTCCGGACCATAAACACTGCAGCGCACCAACAAGTTAGAAGTTCTGGAAAAACGACTCACTGAGTAGTTTGGCCCCATTGCTCTGATGGCGTGACCGGTCAGAGTGGCGACAGTGAACAGCTGAGGAGAAATCTCACTCACCGCCTGCAGAGAGAAGAGCAAAAAGTGAGAGGAGACTCGGCTGAGGACCAGCTGGTCCTGAGGTGAATTCGCACCTTCTCCTTCATCTCACAGAGCAGATCGACCATCACCATACGCCCCTCCGCGTCGGTGTTTCCCACCCTGACTCTCCGGCCCGCGCGGGAGACCACCAGCTCGTCCGCCACGTAGCAGTCTGAGAACACACAAGCAGGTGAGCAGCGGAGCAACGACATCATCAGAAGCAGCTCTGAGGCACCGCACACCGACCTGCACCCACACTGTTCCTCACCATGGCCATTGCACCGACAACCTTCAGATGTTTAGGCTTCAGATGGGCTAAAATCTACGAGGGATTTCCATCAGACGTGAACTTTAAGCTGCATGATTTGGAATAAAAAAGTTGTGCATGTGGGTTTGCAAGGAGGGGGCCGCCATTCACCTGGAAGAACCCAGCAACGGCAGCAGCTCCACACTTGTCTCTGTGCATCCCGGCCATGATGCCACCAGCCTTGATGTCTGCTCCTCCGGTGTCGTAGGTGATGCCCTGGGGTCATCGCACAAAACAAACGTTTAGTATTAATTACAACACACCGGGCAGGATGTGGAAAAGAGTTTAATGCACGACTTCATAAATTCTCCTTTTTTTTACCTTTCCTACCAACATGAGGGTCTTCTGGATCGGTCCTTCTCCGCAGTACTGCAGCTTGACGACTCTGGCCTGATGACGAGGTACAGCTAAAAGAATAGGAGGAAACCATGAATGAAAGTGTTTAACAAAATAAGTGAATTATTTCTGGAATGGGGCGACGTTAAACAGTGAGGAGTAAAAGTTGTCTTACTGTTAGCACAGCGGTTAACTGCAGCCAGACATGGGTACTCTTTCTCCAGAGTCTTCAGGTCACTGACCACGTCCACCTGCAAGTAACAACCAGGCCCCCACCATGCGGGACAGAAATTGAGGCCAATGCGGAAGTGAAAGAAATTGCAGTTCCACCCTCATCCACTAGGGGCTGGTGTCAGAAGCGAGCAAATCCTCATTGACTCCCATGTTAAAAATACCAATTTCACAGCAGAAATAAACATGTTTACAGCCTGGTACCAGAACATGTTTTTGGTTTAAATGATCTAGTTTACACTCATGACAACTCTGAGGGGGGTGAAGTTTTTTCTCACTCTTCTGTTTAAGTGTATTAAAAGCCTAAAATTCTGTATAATTAATGAGCATCAGACCCACGTGACCACAGAGCTAGCTCCGGGGAAAGGCCTCAGTAGAGCCTCGGTCTGGCCTGGAAACTGTTCCGGGATTTTGAGTCTCTGTGTTTGTGTATTCTTTGTGGATATTTTTTGTGCAATTGTTGGACAAAATGACTTGCTGTGGCATTAATTGCACTAATAGAGCGTCCAAGGAGTCTCCACTTCATTTTTTTCGGTAAGTAAAATTATATTTATGTATTTTAGGTCACTGCTGAGCTGAGCTTAGATTTTAACATGTACTGTTTAACCATGAAATTTAAATGTAATAGGGTAAACCCAGTGCATTTAACATAATGCTGCACTTTAGAAAATGGGTTGAAATATAACATGTTGGTGGAGCTGGGTTCCCACTATCGGCTTGTGGAACTCTCGGAGACCTCTGTGTTCCACCCGGTTTTACCCAGCGGTCAGCCCGGCGTATCTCTGACTCAGAAGCTCTGGTGTTGTGCACAGTTAACTCCGGTTGTAGCTAGGTTGCTACCTCCGTTAGCTTAGCTCCCACCTCTGCGTTAGCTTCAGGTTAGCTTGTAGCTAGTTCGACCAGGTGTCGTCAGTTGATCCCAGCCTTACAGCCCCACCCTCAGCTCCTCCTCTCTTCCCTTTTGTGGAATTGTCTGGGCTTGACGGAAACTGTGACACGGTCAAAATGGCGGTGGTGGCCACCTCCCATTTTAGTACAAAAACTTGTTATTGGAGCCTATGAAACCCATTGTCCATATATGTATATGTCGATAGTAACAACACAGAAGAACCAAATGATTTAAACATATTTGTTTATGTTTATGTGCTTAGCAGACGCTTTTACCCAAAGCAACTTACAATTTTTCTTTTTTAACCTATAGGGCATGTTGTGATCTGTGGGGGAAACCGGAGTACCCGGAGGAAACCCACGCATGCATGGGGAGAACACGCAACTCCACTCAGAAAGGCCGCAGCCGAGTTTCGAACCTGCGACCTTCGTGTTGCGAGGCAACAGTGCGCCACCATGCAGCCCATATTTGCATGGTGCATATTTGTTGTGAGTTTTGTCTGTTTGCACACAGGAAGTGAGGGTCCTCCGTACCTTCACTGGACTGTTCTTGAACAGTTCCTGGACGTATTCAGCAGCACGAGGGGCAGCCATGCGCTCCGGATCTGAGCCACCGATGTCACGGTAAGCCAGTCTGAGGAGGAGAAATAAAAACAGATGAGAGAAAATACAGGAGAAAACTTAAATAAGATCAAACATGTGACCGACTCACCTTCCACTCTCCAGAGAACTGGCCAGCTCCACCAGCCGCTTCCCCTCTGCCTCCTGAGCCGCCCACAGCCCCAGAACACACACCTTATAGTTGGAGGACTTTATGTTCGCCTCTCGCACTTCAAGTGGCTTTGAGCAAAGAGAATAGAGAAAATGTTCAGGTCACACAAACTGCTGATGGTACAAAATGCAACATTTGACCTTTTCATTCCAAAACAAGATCTCAGCTTTAATTCAATTCAAAAATACTTTATTAATCCCAGAGGGAAACTGATTGCTGTAGTAGCAATTCTACTCAGTAGCTCAGAATAATAATAATAACCAAGTCATCAAAGAGTTGTTGTATATTACAATGGCTGTTGGCAGGAAGGATCTCCATTAGCGGTCAGTGTTGCAGCCAAACTGAAGAAGCCTCTGACTGAAGACACTCTTCCGTTGTCGGACAGTCTTGTGAAGAGAATGCTCAGGGTTGTCCATCATTTTCTTGATTCTCTGGAGAATTCTTCTTTGCATTATCTCCTCCAGCGGTTCCCAAACTCTGGCTGAGTCCTTGAAAGGGCTTGGAGTTGCTCCATCTTGTTGGCCAGTGATCTCACATCGCCCATTATGATCGATGGAAGAGATGGTTTGAATTTCCTCTTCCTCTGTCTCCGTTTTGCTCCCGCTCTGCACCCACGCTTCTTGCGTTTTAGCTCATTTGGGATTTGTGGCTTCAGTTGAGGTATTATTTCAGCCTTTCCAATGTTAATCAGCTGCTCCCGAGTGTAAACCAGCTTGTTGCCATGGTTACGCATCATAACAAATGCTCAAAAAGTGAAAAAAGCTAAAAAAATATCAGTAAAAATCCTCCAAGCTTCACAGCACCAGAAACAGAAAAGTAAAGTGTCCAAAAAAATACAGTTTTTCTTGAGAAACAAGAAAAAATGTCCAAGAAAAGGCAGAACTTACATGTAGTCAACAGAGCTACTCCAACATGCAGCCACCCAGAGCAGCGCAGTTCTGGAAATGGTTACTTTATTGAGCTAAGAAACAGTCCTTTAACTTATTCACTGCCAGCGAGTTTCCTGATCACTAACGGCCTTTGCTGCCAGCATTTCTCACCGTTTTTACTGTTTTTTTAAGAGTCACAGAACGTTGCGTGCTAGCATGATGTTGACACCAAAACAGCCAAAACAAAGAGGAGACTCACCTCTTACATCAGGAAGAATCCGTGTGTTTCGAGCGTTATCCGTTCTTTCATAATCCGTTGTGGAATTGTGATCGGCAGACGCTTTTCAGGTTCGCGCCTCACTTTTTTTTACAGGAACGACCCAAAAGGATCTCCAAACACGTGGATTTTCTGCTTCCTGATCATGTGACGTGTGACGTATGCGGATGAAGATCGGCTTCAGAGCTGAGATGTTTGTTCTCTCGGTGCGGAGGCTCGTTCCGATGCTCAAACAGTAAAAAATGCAAATGACGACTTTAGTCGTCAGTGGCAGTGAACGAGTTAATGAGACTTTGACCACTTTTCTCTTCTACTATAACCCGGTTTTCTTTGGGTTAGTTATTAAAGACTGTTTTAGGTAACTTATTAACCTCCTTTACTTAAACCGATATATTTCTGGAACAGCTGCATAATCTCTTGGATTATTAAAACCGACAGTTTCTTGTCGTGATAAAGTCAAACTAGTGAAACAGGTCTGAGTTCTTGTTGAAGTTTGTAAACAACCTAAACGCTGAGATATTTATGCAGACTCGTGCAGGTTTTTGTGTCGTAAAGGTTTTAGTGGTAACATTTTACTAAAGTCAAAACTTAAATGAGTTTATGTTGGTGTATGTAATGTATGTCTTTTTTCCAGAACTGCGCTGCTCTGGGCGGCTGCATGTTGGAGTAGCTCTGTTGACTATATGTCAGTTTTGCCTTTTCTTGGACATTTTTTCTTCTAGTTTCTCAAGAAAAACTGTATTTTTTGGACACTTTACTTTTCTGTTTCTGGTGCTGTGAAGCTTGGAGGATTTTTACTGCTATTTTTTAGCTTTTTTCCACTTTTTGAGCATTTGTTATGATGCGTAACCATGGCAGCAAGCTGGTTTACAATCGGGAGCAGCTGATTAACATTGGAAAGGCTGAAATAATACCTCAACTGAAGCCACAAATCCCAAATGAGCTAAAACGCCAGAAGCGTGGGTGCAGAGCGGGAGCAAAACGGAGACAGAGAAAGAGGAAATTCAAACCATCTCTTCCATCGATCATAATGGGCGATGTGAGATCACTGGCCAACAAGATGGAGGATCTCCAAGCCCTTTCAAGGACTCAGCCAGAGTTTCGGCAGTTTCAGAACCGCTGGAGGAGATAATGCAAAGAAGGATTCTCCAGAGAATCAAGAAAATGATGGACAACCCTGAGCATTCTCTTCACAAGACTGTCCGACAACGGAAGAGTGTCTTCAGTCAGAGGCTTCTTCAGTTTGGCTGCAACACTGACCGCTACTGGAGATCCTTCCTGCCAACAGCCATTGTAATATACAACAACTCTTTGATGACTTGATTATTATTATTATTCTGTATTTTTGAATTGAATTTGCCTTAATATCAGACATTCTACTTTTTCTTTTGTTTGGCCTCTTCTACAAGACAAATTTTCAAAATTATACATTTAATCAAATCATCAGATATGATACAGCAGCTTTTAAAAGTGCAATCCTTTATTTTCTATAATAAACAGCTTATATTTCTTCACAAAACTTTTTCCTCACCATGTAGAGAGCGTGAAGGGCCCCGAGAGCAGCAACCAGAGTGCTGTTCTTATAGTCCTTGTGTGGAGGACACACCAGCAGGGGGCGCTGCATGCCTGCTTTCAATGCACTGCAGAAACGACAAGAAACCTGTAAACCAGCGGAATAAAACACAGAGGAGGAAACAAACAAATCAGCTGATGTGATCTGACCGTTTGATGCCGTTGACAGCTGCATCACTAAAACGCCTCACGTCATCGTAGTCACGATTCACAGGACCGGTGGAGGCAAAGACCAGACGGTTTCCAGGGAGACCAGGAGCCCTGAGGACCACCACCTCCTCCCTCAGTCCGCTGTCCACCTGGACATAAACAGCATCACTAAAAAGCATGCCCTCTTACTTACACCCAATACTTACAGGGGAATTTTTCAGAGTATTAAAAAATTTGAAACTTTTTAAAAATCTTTAACTGGTTGTAACTTATCTCATTCAAATCTGGACATTTTAGACATCTATATGTCCAGATAATATAATCTGTTCCAGTATAAGAGACAAAAATTAATAATTTACCCCCAAATCCACCATTAAAAGACATTTCACACCTACGTCTACAGCAGAAGCACACACGGTTTCCCCAATCAGGCAAAAAAATACAGATAGATGGCTAAATAAATAAAAAATAAATATTTGTGTAAACATGCAAAAAGTAAAATAGGAGTTCATCCCATCGGTTCATCCAGAGAAACGAGTGCCGGTGAGAGAATTTGACTTCATAATCTATTAAAGTGGTTGGAGAGCAAACACTTACAGCGCTGTAGTCCTGCAGAGGAGACCTCAGATGCTCGAGCGCCACAGGCAGCGAGTCGTGGCCTTCAGCCACCAAGACGACGCCATCAAAACTAAAAGGACAAAGGAAACCCACACAGACCACAAATGTCAGCTAGAAAAACACCTCACTGATTAGCTGACAGCAGCAAAAGGGGAGGGTTCTTCCTCATACTCACTTCTGGTTTTTGAGGTCTGTGGTCCAATCGGTGGCCTGAACGCTGGATAGAAAAGCAGTGCAGGGTTAACAGAAGACACCTTAGAATAAGGGACAATTAGCCTGTGTTAATGATTAGAGTCTGAAACCTCCGGGACCTTTGAAACCTCAGCATGACAGATAAGACTCAGGTGTCAAAAATGCCAACTTATTTGTTTTCCTTGCAAATTGGGAGTTAGACGATGGTTTAAAACACATTATTTTACATTTTAAGTAAATGTTAAGGCTTTGAACAGAATGAGCATTATTCATGTTGCAGTCACCACCCAGGAATTAGCAGCGCTCCACAAAATATGTGATGACAAAGCTGATGTATTTCATACTAGTCACGCTTCAGGCATCAGGTGATCTGAAGAAAGCGAAAGCGTTGTTTAATCAGACGCGGTTCGCTGATCAGGAAACGGAACCTAAAGCTGGTTCAGTCTAATAGGCATCGGATCTCAGGATTAGATTTCCATAGTGAGGGTTTGAAATACAGAGACGCGGCTAAATAACAAACTAACTTAGAATAGTTCAAACCACGTACACAATGCAACAGATGAGGGAAAACGCAGAATTTTAGCCAACAAATAGCCTTAGCTTCTGGGCTGTAGCTTTAAAAACACACTCAAAAGATAACTGTACATAATCTGACAGATTAATCTGGACCATAATAGTTCAGATTAAGTAAAAATATATTTTACCTGGTGCACATCGTTGATATCGTCCTCCTGTGCCTTGAATGAAAGACAGCCGCAGGCACTGTGAACGGTTCCTTACCTTCTTCGTCACGTGATCCTTGAACTTTAACTTGTGCTGCCTTCACTGACTCACGGAGGTTGCGATTACACACACGTGTAACAAAATGCCTTTTATTTACAGTTCCTACAATAGCGTATTTTACATTTGTGATGTAAATATACGATTTCAAACACAAATATTTTATATAATTGGCTAAAATCTAGCTACTTAATTGACGTTTCATAAAATCCCTACTGCCCATGAAAGGCGCTTCGGGAGCGTGTAGGGAATTGTAGTTTTACGAGTTACTAGCGCAAACGTAACCAACTAAATTAGGACTTTTCATACTTTCAATGAAGCACTTTTCACCTACAATGACTAAAAACAACTTCAGCTAGAATAAAAAGTAGTTACATGTGCGGTAAATCCCACACTTCACAGGAAAAACATCACGGACTACAAAGGCTAACCGGAAGTAGCAAAAAGTGGCGTGTGTTTATATGGAGAACTGCGGTGAGTATTAGACTGTTCAAAGGGCACAGTAAAAGCAGCTGATGTGACTGATTCAACAGCATCGAACAGTGGCACATTACTCAAGAGGCAGTTACCTAAACTAAAAATCAACCTGCAGGTAAGAAGTAGCAGTTTCTATGCTCAGCAGTTGCAGATTTTATGCACAGCGGTTTCTTGGGGAAATGTTAAATTGCAGCTTTTTGTAAACCAGATGAACTCAGATGGCATTTTGCTTACATGGTTCTTTATATGTTACTGTTTGCTTTTTTATTTTTCATAATAAGTTTGAGTTTGGTGCCAGGAGTTGGGTAAAGGTGATTTCACAACAGGATTCAACAACCATATCATTTTAAACGATTGAAATACCAGCATGTACATAAAGATTTATGAAATCACACTTAAAACATTTGTTCTGTTTCATCTACTAAACCAAAATTGTTGTTGCCTTTATCTTTCATTTTTACCCTTTTTTCTAACCCTCTAATGAACAGATGAGAGTTCTTCGCTCCTTTTGCACAGTCAGAGGTTTTTACTCTCACACACACACGACAGCCAAAAACAGACGAGGTCTGAGCGGGGCAGCAATGCGTCTTGTCCAGTTTCAACGCTGTGCTGTTGGAGATGGCATCAGGGTGGGGGTGGAACAAGGCGAGGGGCTCGGTGTGGTAGATCTGAAGGCGTTTGACCCCTCCATGCCTTCGACTATGAGAGAGCTGCTGGAGCTGGGAGACAAGGGGCTGGCGTGTGCACAGAGGTACCAAACCATTCATTTATCTCAAGTATCATCAAATCTGATTTCTTAATCTTTATCGTCACTTTCTACACTTAATTATTCCTCCTCCTCCACAGAGCCTTGGCCTCTGGCCAGTTTGTTGTGGACAGAGCAAACATCCAGCTGCTGTCTCCTATTTTGGCCCCAGAGAAGGTTGTGTGTGTGGGTATGAACTATCAAGATCACTGTCTGGAGCAAAACGCCCCCATCCCTAAAGAACCAATCATCTTCAACAAGTTCCCCAGTGCCATCACAGGGCCATATGATGACATCATTCTGCCACAAGAGAGCAAGGTAAAAGAGCGCAAACCTTTAAGATATTATTTGTGTGGAACTTTGAAAACACTGGATGTTGCAGATGTCAGGAACTGAGGGACATTATTGTCTCTAAACTATTAAACTGCTAAAAAAAGGAGGCTTTTAATTAAAGAAAAAGTTTAGGATAGAGACTCGTGCTCAGAAAGCTCAAATAACTAAGGTACTAATCCTAAAACAAACGAGTTGACATTTTAAAGCATTTATTTTAAACTTAAAGCAAATCAAGTTTCTTCCTAGACCTTTGAGATTTCTGCAGCGTGAATCTCAAAAATGTTACTCTTTAGTTGCAGAAATAGTTGATTTTCCTTGAATTAGACAATTTGAGGCTTTTGCTATTATATTAAACGTACAAATTATCAAAGGAATCTCAACTTTGTTTAAAAAAAAAGTTCAAATAAAAAGCCTGCGTCTAATTTCAGGTGCAATGATGAAGCTGGACCACCAGGGGGCACTGTAGCACAACGCCAAATATCAGATGCTTAGTTCTTTGACCAGATTTGATCCAACAAATATGAAATATGTTTATGAGCACTTTAAAACTGATTTTTATTGCATGAACTTAAATATTTAGGTCAGAAAAATAAATATAAAGGTAGAATAAATGTTTAGTCTGCATGCTTGATGTATGACGCAGTGGAAGAACAATAAGACGGAGACAACAGAAAAAGAGCAAGAGACGTTTTGGTTTATTCAGTCATCAGTTCTCTTGTAGAACGAGTAGTTTATCATCTACAATAGAGGAGTTTTGTTTTCCTTCCTCCTGAAATCCACAGCCCAGATAAATAAAACGGTAATAAAAACATCCAGTTTCTGCTTTTCATTCATTATCCTCGACTCCAGAAGAGCACATTTATTTCTGTGGTTTACTCTGATGAATCTCGTGGATGTCTGTACTTCATCTCCTTGTAGAGAGACAGTTTCTGGAGAAAAGTCGAAAACGCACTTCCACGACTTTGACTGGATGAGATAGCAGAAGGCTGTGATGGACTTTTGTGGTAACAAGAGTTCAGCGACACATCCAACACAGCCAAAGTGCCACAGATCAGTCCCTTAAATCTGAAGCGAACAGCAGGTTGTGGCATCATCTCCTGTCGGCAGCGCCTTCAGACAGCCCGGTTTACTCATTAGCAGCATGGGGACGACGTACTGAATGCTGAGCTGATTTGGACTAACAGGATTCTGAAGCAGCCGTTATCTTGTTTAACTTTAACCCGACAAATGAGACCTGGTGATTTCTTTGGACAGTTTGTGGTTCACCAGACTGTGGATGTTTCAACATCTGAAATGGGATTGAAGGAGACCTTCAAGTGATTTATTCACATAAAAATAAAATAATCAGAAGCTAGGTAAAGTGATGGATGTACTAAAAACCCAACAAATCGTTTAATCACCAAAAGAATCCAGATATTTGACCGGCACCAAAGCTTAAATACTGTACAGATTTCCAATGAACGTGGACAAAAGCCAGGCCTTGAGCAAGAGTGTTCTGGACAGACCAAAGATCAGATCATTTAGTTACAGCAATAAACCGCCATCAGGTCGCTGCAGCAGAAATGCTACGGTTTGTTTGTGTCACTGACTCCAGCATCAGAAAGCACTTCTGCGTTTTATCAAACAGCGACTGTTACTTATGATACGATCCGACAGCCTAAAGATAGTCCATCTGTCTGAGTTCAAGCTCTGTCAGTTAAATGTTTCACGACTGCAGATGCAAATTTATCCTCTGAACTTAACCGATTGCGGCCGGAGCTGCAGTGCTTCAGAAAATGTACGAAGTTTCGTAAAAAGATGAATCCGTGTAAATCTTTTGTCCTTAGTTTGAGACTGAAGAAATAGTTTTACAAGATTTGCTGATTTAGTGCATTTCTAAGTAGGGATGCACCAATACGATACTGGTATCAGTGCCGATACTGATACCAGTATCGGTATCTATACGATACTGGTAATCTATACGATACTGGTATCAGTATCGTATAGGTGCCGATACAGATAATGATACCAGTATCGGTATCGGTAAAAGTTAACAGATACCAGAAACTGATACCAATGCAGTTGCTTGAAAGTGACTTCACTGTAACTTGTCATTTCTGTTCACCTAATATTTTAGTTTTGTGATCACTTATATTACTTTTATCTACCTCACCATCTTTTCCTATTGAAAACAGAAGAAAATAAAACCTGTATTTCAATTCATTGCATTTTTTTGTGTGGTAGAAGTATCTGTATCGGCGAGTACTCAGATCCAAGTATCGGTATCGTACCGGTTTGGAAAATAGTAGTATCGTTGCATCCGCGGGGCAGCAGTAGCTCAACAGGTGGAGCGGGTTGTCCAGTAATCGGAAGGTTGCAGGTTCGATCCCGGCTCCGGACAGAGAATTCTGCTGTTGTGTCCTTGGGCAAGACACTTAACCCACCTTGCCTGCTGATGGTGGTCGGAGGGATCGGTGGCGCCAGTGCTCGACAGCCTCGCCTCTGTCAGTGCGCCCCAAGGCAGCTGTGGCTACATCGTAGCTCATCGCCACCAGTGTGTGAATGTGTGTGTGAATGGATGAATGATACACTGTAGTGTAAAGCGCTTTGGAGTCCTTACTCTGAGAGGTGCTATACAAGTGCGGGTCATTTATCATCATCCCTATGTCTAAGTGACTCGTGTTCTTAGCGTAGTGACCGAAAGAATGAGACCGCAAGCGGCCTCCACAGCGAGAGGAACCAGTTGAGGTGGCTTGGCATCTAGCTAGGACGCCTCCTGGTGAGGTTTTCACGGGCACTTCCAACCGGTAGGAGACCCAAGGGAAGACTCAGGACATGCTGGAGGGACTACGTCTCTTGGCTGGTCAGGGAACGCGCCGGGGAGAGGGAAGTCTGGGCTGCTGCCCCTGTGACCCGACCCCGGATAAGTGGCCCAAAATGGATGATGGATCATGTTCTTAGATAACTTCATTAATCTCCATGGGGGCACTTTATTATTTAGAAAGTAAAACTAACTAAAAATTATTTTGTCTATAGGAGGTAGACTGGGAGGTGGAGCTGGCCTTTGTGATTGGACGAAGAGGAAAACACATCAAGGTGAGCATCACCTCATCGCACAGTGCACTTCTGTGCCTCATCTAATGTGAAACTCGTGTTACAGGAAGAAGAGGCGCTCTCCTACGTGGCCGGGTTCACCGTGGCCAATGACGTCACCGCTCGCGACTGGCAGTTGCGCAACGGGACGCAGTGGCTGCTGTCAAAGACGTTCGACAGCTTCTGCCCCCTCGGACCCGCTTTGGTAACCAGTGATGCTGTGGAAGGTGAGAGGAAATGAAGAGGAGGACTGAGGCATTCTGGTGAATCATGTAATTTACTGTTATTTTGGTTGTTTGTGGCGTCACTGAGTTAACGAGCTAAAATTAGTGACAAATATGGTTTACTGAACATGTGTGGCAAGAAGCAAGTCCCAGATGCTGGGCACAATCTACCTGGGTTTGGTGTGCTCTCATTTCTTGTCATAACTTTAGTTTGCAATGGTTCAAGGGTGATTCAAAGATCACCTGCTAACACAATCACACACCCATGATGGATCAGAGCGGTGTGTGTGTGTGTGTGTGTGTTTAAACAGTAGTGTGTATCAGCATTAAAATTGTGGAGTAATCCACACTACTTACAGATGCCAGAATCCCCCCCAGTGATATTAATCTGTATTCCAAATCCAGAGCTGCCCCTACCTGTAGAAACCTCTGAGGAACTTCCTTTTAGACCTAAAGCAGAGTCCGTGTGCGCGTTTGGACGTGTCTCCAAATTTCTGTTTCACCAGAGCGATTCTGGGATTTAAAGAAATGAGCTTGAGCCCAACAGACGTCCTAATAACCAACCGACAGGCTTGTATCGCCTCTATTGATTCATGTGCACTTGCTTCAGATTGGTTAGAATTATTCACCTGTTTTCCGTCCACCTAGACTCCGACGAAGACATTGATGTTGAAATATTTATCTATAAAAGCTGAGATATCGATCGGTGAGCTCCAGCTTTCATCTGTATTTAAAGAGCAAGTCACCCCCTACCAGAGTATTACTCCACCCCCACTTCCTGTTTGAAAAATGCAACAAATGCTGTTGCTGAGCAGACCGAGGGCGGAGCCGCTAACAAATACACACACACAGGCTCACAACAACACTGTGACATCATAATGTACCATCTAACGTCATTGTATACCTCTTAGCCATTAGCGATGGCAGATTTAAATTCAAATGCAGTGCAGTTTTTATCTGACAACGGCACAACACTGACAGTTTTGGGCAGAAAATTTAAATTTTAACTAAAATGCACTAAAATGCAAAACTATTGACGACACGTGTCTGCAGCACGATTAGATACACATTTATGTAGTTTATCAGCAAAAAATACTTGGTTTGGGGGTGACTTGCTCTTTAAAGAACTGTCCTTTAATAGCGAGGCACTGATTCAGCCGTCTGCTGCTGCAGACGTGTAGAGAATCAGACTTCTCTGTTAGATCAGAGCCGTTCTAGTCGACCTCATAAATGTGGAACAGAAAATTAGATTTGATGCTGAAGTTTACAGCAAAGCCTAAAACTTTCTCTACATCCAACTTTTTTGGACACCATCCACAAAGGAAAACGCAAGCAAGCACCTTTGCTCTGAATGGCTAGATTACCCTTTTCTAAACGACATGAGGTTAAAAGCCGGAGATGAATAATAAGAGTCACATTCTTTAAGATGAGGCAATAAATACTAAAGCTCAGCATGTTTGGTCACCACAGCAGATCTGAAGGCTTGACAGTGGGGGGTGGCGGTGGCGGTGAGGATTTTAGGCTACTTTAATGTAAAAGTTGATTATCCATAACATAAGGACCCTAGCGTGGGCTCAGTGGGCTGTGATGAGAGGCTTCTGGAGGTAGCTTGCTTGTCTTCAGGTTGTTATCAGAGGCGTTGGGAGGCAAATCAAACACCTTAGGCTCTATTTTGTCTTTGAGACGTCCCTCCTAAGTTCTCCTGCTTCATGCATCTTTTCTCTTGCAGATCCGCACAACCTGGACATTCGCTGCCTGGTTAATGGAGACACAGTCCAGAAGAGCAACACAGGTCAGATGATCTTCAGGATCCCAGCGCTGATTGCTTGGGTTTCAAAGTAAGTCAGAGACAGTTAGTTCTGCATTTGCATAAAACTTTTATTACAAAAGTCTCTTTACTCTGACTAAAAGTCAAGTTCCTTTTATGTTTATTCATTTGGCAGACGCTTTTATCCAAAGCAGCTTACAGTTTATAACCTATAGGGCGTGTTGTGATCTGTGGGGGAAACCGGAGAACCCGGAGGAAACCCACGCATGCATGGGGAGAACACGCAACTCCACGCAGAAAGGCCGCAGCCGAGTTTCGAACCTGCGACCTTCGTGCTGCGAGGCACCAGTGCTAACCACTGCACCACCATGCAGCCATTTTAGAAAAATTAAATGGGAAATAAAAGCCCCAAAAAGCCCATTTTTAGTTATAGGTGGAGCTGAAATGTGCCTCATCACCACCCGACCGACCGACTGGAGCGTTCCTGGTCAGATTTAGAACCTTTGGAAGGATAACACCTCTGCAGACGGTCTGGTCGGGTTGATTTTTAAGACCTTTGACTAAACTTTAAACACAGAAATGCTGCTGTGTGACCTGAAGAGAAGTAAATCATTGTGAGATTACAGATTACTGGTTACAGATTAGTGGTAATCTTTTTGCATGGATTGTTCCTTCTTTCAGGTTTGTGGCTTTAGCTCCAGGAGACGTTTTCCTGACAGGTACTCCTCCAGGTGTGGGCGTTTTCAGAAAGCCACCCATCTTTCTGAAGGTGATTCAAGCAAAAACAGGTTTTCTTGTTTTGTTAATTCTTTAAATCCACCAAAATGACTCTGTTCGGGAGAAAATCCATGTTATGTCCTTGACGTTGGATGTGCTACTACTAGTTTATCCATTTAATTATAGATCCACTAGGATAAATACAATAAAGTTTATCTCTCACCAAATAGAATATTTACTAAGAAATCACAATGTTACCATAGAAACATTGTTTGATGTGTGTGTGTGTGTGTGTGTGTGCCTGCTCTGTCTTCTCCATCCCCAGTGAGTCGTGGAGGATGGCTGCTTATACTGAGCCAGGATCCTCTGGAGGTATCTTCCTGTTAAAAGGGAGTTTTCCTCTCCACTGTCACTTTATGCTTGCTTAGTATGAGGATTGCTGTAAAGTCACTGACACTAGTCAGTGACTTGATGCAATGGCACAGGAGTTAAGCGCTCGCCCCGTAATCGGAAGGTTGCAGGTTCGAGCCCTGCTCAGTCTGTCGCTGTTGTGTCCTTGGGCAAGACACTTAACCCACATTACTTGCTGGTGGTGGTCGGAGGGACCGGTAGCGCCAGTGCTCGGCAGCCTCACCTCTGTCAGTGCGCCCCAGGGCAGCTGTGGCTACATCGTAGCTCATCCCCACCAGCGTGTGAATGTGTGTGTGAATGGGTGAATGACTGATTGTGTTATAAAGTGCCTTGGGGGGTTCCAGGACTCTAGAAGGCGCTATATCAAATACAGGCCATTTACCATTTTAGCAGATGAAGGATTTGGGAAAGATTTTCCTAAAACACGGTGTTCTCTTCCCGCGGGATGCAACCGTCTTGGTGACAGAAGGATCTTCGAATAAAAAAGGATTTTATTTGTAAAATAGTCTGAACTTTTCACAAGTGCCAGAAAATGAATGTGATTGAAGTTTTTTGTGTTCAGAAAGGAGACGTGGTGGAGTGCCAGATCGACCAGTTAGGCTCCATTATCAACAAAGTGGTTTAAAGCCGGAGATGACGATTCAGGAAGGACATCAGCCGATCGACCAACCACATTTCTAGTCTCGGTCATTAAACCCAGCAGCAGATGTGTTGAAACCTACATGTTGGTTGTTGAATGTGTGTTTTTTTTACAATATCTCTGTACCAATGAGGCCAAATGTGGTATTTTTACTACACGTGTAATTAGTGACTCACAGCAAGGCTCCATCAGCGGCCACCCACTCACGTTAACAACAGACCGTGAACTTCTTTTAACATAGCAATATAAAGACTTCTATTTGGTTGGAGTTCATTTTTGATTTTTAGACGACTCGTGTGTTAATTTTCTCATGAAACAGGCTGACTGGTTGTAATAGAATTTTAAACAGAATCTGATGGCTTCACTTTCTTTTCATTCATGTTTTTTTTTCCCTTTTTAGGCTTGAGAAATTCCACTAGTTTCACTTGAGTAAAGATGAATCAGATATTTGAGTCTGATGCATTTTTGTGTCAAAGCAAGTTTTTAAACATGTAAAATGAGCATTTAGACCCGTTCTAATACTCATCAGAATACAGGAGTTATTTAATGACATCACCCTAAAGGCAGATTATTTTACATTTGTGTTTGAAACGTTCCACGTTCTTGTTTTTTAGAGAACAGTTTTAGAATTTCGAATATTACATTTAATTGTAGTAAATTTACTTTAGTTGTTACATCTCAATTATTATTTTCGGCTCCTATTGTAGCACAACAATCTCCTTCAGCAGATTTTAAAACCACACCTGATGTTTCTTAGCTCTACATCTTAAAAACCTGCTTTAGGTTTTATTTCTTTTATGGAGGAACCCTTTGGACCCGCTCCTGGCAGCTGAGAGCTTTTAGGATGCTCCGTCAGGACACTAGGGGGGAGTAACGTCTCACCAAGCGCTGACCTGCTGCAGCTTCTGAGTTGGATTTGAAGGTGAGCAGCAGCTACACCGACTCTCGACTGTAGGAACCTTCAGCTCTGCACAGAAAACTCTTAACGCCTGCCAGAAATGTTCCCATCATCGATTTGTCTCCCCGTTGCGGTGTCCAAAGGTCTGCGTCAACGAGCCTCCCTGGTGGTCTGAGTCAGCAGAGGGTGATCTACATTCAGGAGGGGAGCTGCTCAGAGTGATGAGACACAACTAATATATGCTGTAAGAGAGATTCACTCACTTCTGCACGAGTTCCATCAAAGACCAAGTAAGAACTTGTTTATTGGTAGCGTGAAAAACAAAGCAGCTTTAGCTACAACACAGCTCAAGTCCGAACGGCTGACTACAGGAACTTTGTGATCCTCTCCTGCAGATTTACGCTACATTAGTGACAGAAAAACAACTAAATCACAGCTCCAGCTTTAAAAACAAAATTACAAACGAAATGAACAGAAAGCCACGAGCATCTTAACTCCTCGGGAGTGTTTTTTTTCTTTTTTGAAACGAACAAAGGTTTTCCAGCACCGTCGGAGAACGAGGTCAGGTTTTGCCGCATAACAAAGCAGAAATGAGGCTTTGAGTCATACTTAACAGCATTAATTGAAGAGGTACTGCGAGATGAAGCTGTGCAGCTTCGCTCTGTTCTCTGACGACTGGAACAAAGGACTCACACCCAACAAGTCGCCTCCCATCTGACGGGTCTCCAAAAGGACCTGAATTAAAAACAATGAACACAAATATAGCAGCTTTAGAGGACAACAACAACACTTACACTGCGAGGGCTCAGAGTCTTTCTTTTTAATCTTCTTTCTTAAGAACCCCCCCCCCCCCCCCCCCCACAAATTATAAGCTTCCACTTAAAAACCCGAGGAAGTAAAACAAAGTCTGAAATAATGAGGCCAAACGAGTCCTCTCCTTCCTTCCAGAAACACCAGAGGCACATTTCCTGTCTGCTTTGACTCGTAGCTCTTAGATATTGTTCCTGCTTGACATCAGACACGAAAGACGAGGCTGAAGACTGATAACCCCAATAATAAACTTAATAACCCACACAAGAGACCTTTGCAGACATGTGGGTCAACGACGCTCCAGTTTTACAGGAAGTGACTCCAAACCTGCTGGAGGGACTGGAGGGAGCACCTGTGATGAATGACATGATCAGAAATGTTGATCCATACATTTATAGAAAAAAAAACTTCAGCATCCCTGTATTAAAAAGTCAGCCTCCTTTTCAGGTCTGAGTGTTGAGAGTTTATAAGAATCAGAGTTTTTTCATTATTTGGTGCCGTTGATTATAAACTCTCAGCAGATGGAGACGGCAGATGCTCATATTATTATCAGCAAGAGAAACCGTTTTCTCCCACTTTGACTCTCCGAAAAACAACTTTTACTGACTTGAAAACTGCCGCAGTGTGATAATCCGTCACGATAAACACACAGGCTTTATCTGTTCTCTAAAGTCTTGGTTAATCCTTAAGTTCGTTGTGAGAGTCGAGTGTTTTCCTATCAGGCCATCGCACAATCCACAGGGAAAAAAGTTAGCCGAGTTCTTAAAAACAACCTTCCTTACTTGTTTAACCTCGGTCATGTAGATGGATCCCTTCAGTAATAATTCTTATAAAATAACCTAGAACCAGAACCCTGATGTGCCAGGACTGATTTAGAGGCACTTAAGTAAAATAACTGAGATCTCCACTAGGGATGCAACGATACCACTTTTTTCCAAACCGCTACGATACGATACTTGGATCTGAGTACTCGCCGATACCAATAAAGATACTTGTACCACACAAAAAAATGCAATGAATTGGAATGCAGTTTTATTTTCGTCTGTTTTCAATAGGAAAAGACTGTGAGGTAGATAAGAAGTAATATAAGTGATCACAAAACTATTAGGTGAACAGAAATGACAAGTTACAGTGAAGTCACTTTCAAGCAACTGCATTGGTATCAGTTACTGGTATCTGTTAACTTTTACCGATACCGATACTGGTATCTGTTAACTTTTACCGATACTGGTATCAGTATCTGTATCGGCACCGATACTGGTATCTGTATCGGTACCGATACCAGTATCGTATCGGTGCATCCCTAATCTCCACAGTTTTAACAAATTCTAAGCTATTCTCTAGCTCTCATATAAACCACGAGGGAGCAGCATCAGGACCACGCTCACCCTGATGAAAAAAAAAAAAAACTTTTGGTATTTAGCCAACTTCAATCACAACCGTCTCAACAGCCGATGTTCAGGAGCAGAAACTTTAATGGCAGAAGAAGAGCTCAATGCTGGAAAACCGACTGAGTCGGAAATCCTGTAGGATTTTAAAGAGTTCTGATGCGGGGCCCTAGACAAGCACCAGTTGTATTAAATCATTTCATTTAAACATGTCTGTTACTCTGTGTGACATCCAAGTTGGGTAATGTGTTTTTACATCTTGATCCAACTCACTTATTACCGACGTTTGAATTTAAAGACAAAAAAGAAAAATGGATTTTTTTGTCACAACTCACCAAGGTTTCACACTGAAATCTTCAGCGGCGCAGGAATGGCAGTGGAATGTCGCTGCTTCAAATAGAATCCATTTTGGTCTATGGACCGTTTCAAACCAGCCGTGACGCGACAATCTTTAGGTGCGTCCCAGAAGCGGCGCCGCGCCGCTAAAGAGGACCAGGTTCTATTTTTGCCGTGTGCTGCTTCTGGGACACGTCATTTTCCACAGTTAGCATAGGGCTAGAGAGGAAACCACACGATTTCAGTGTAAAACCCCCAGTATTTTTCAAAATGTAAGTACTGCAGCAATGCAGTTTTACACATATGTAGCTTACATGTGGCCCAAAGGCTCATGTGCTCACAGCATTGTTCCAGAAGTGCAGCGGTGTTTATGGCTTTAATCCTGGCACTGGAGAGGAACAACATCATATACAACATCAAACAGCGATATCAAACGTGATTTCCTTCTTTTTGGTTTAATGGCGGATTGCATTAACAAACTGTGACCTTTGAAATCTCGAGGGATCTTGTGATCTCGCGAGTCAAGCCAGGGGGATGGCAGAAGTCTCGAGGGATTTTGTGATCTCGCGAGTCCAGTGAAGAGCACAGCGAGGAATCTGTACCGCGGCCAAGACTCTCCCGGTGTGAAATGGACCACTTTGAAGTTGGCGAGTAAACCACTTCGCTGTGCTGATGCTTCCAGTGTGAAACCGCCTCGTGCTGCTTTTCAATTATTTACTTGTGCTCCACTCAGTGGATTCCTTTACAGAACATTTTGATAAAAAAAGGGAAACAGCTTGTTTGGAGCATAAAATCAGGTCTGGTATCTGTTCCTGCTGAGTTTTGTCACAAGTGTTCATGAACAAGAGGCTGATTATTAGTTATTCGTGGGTTTCAGCTGCATTTTAGATCATCTGTGCAAAAGTAAAAAAAACTTCCCCCAAAAAGTCTAAATCAAAACATCAACCGTGACTTTTATGTCATACATGTTTTCCATTTTATTTGAAATTGAACCCAATTTCCTTTAATTGACTTTAGATCCTATATTAATGTCTGTGCTGATTATGAAGCAGTCTTCACAAACTACTTAATACATTTGGCATTATGGAAGTGTGACAGCCAAAACATGTATAGAAATAATAAATGTCTTCTTCATGCCCTGGTCCTGTAGAATGAGCCCTGGCATTTTTACTGTGATTGCCTGTTTTTCTGTAAAATCACAGAAAAAGAGAGATGCTCGGGTCGAGCAGGCTGCTTCATGCGCGTTCACGCTCAGGCATCGCCCGTAGCATTTGCAATCCGTAGCTTTAGCAGCAGAGAGAGAGGCAGTGCCACTTTGTCGCTGTTCCTAACACCTAGTGACAAAGCTAGCTACAGTGGGGCAAAACGATATTTAGTCAGCCAACGATTGTGAAAGTTCTCCCACTTAAAATGATGACAGAGGTCAGTAATTTTCATCATAGGTACACTTCAACTGTGAGAGACAGAATGTGAAAAAAAATCCATGAATTCACATGGCAGAATTTTTAAAGAGAAATTAAGAGAATTTATAGAAATAAAAGAATCGTGTTTATTGGGTCTTTGGTCATTTAAGACCTTTGGAAACTCTAAGGATTATTTGTCATTTTTAAGGATTTTTAAGGCCTTAAATTTGGAAAAGCAAATTTAAGACTTTTTAAGGACCTGCAGATACCCTGATAACAGTCCTCTACCCCCGTTTCCTGCATCAACCACCGAAAGGAAAAAGTGAAACGCTTGAGTCAGAAACAGCCGCTCTAATCTATGCCCCACAGTAAATTAACAATCATGGATTCACCCATCTTGGCCTTGTGACGGGGAAATGTCGGTTTTGCCGCCAGAGTGTGTCTTGGATAGTAGAAGCTAACCATTAGCATTAGCATCTCCACTGCATGGTAGCAGACATTTAGGCTAGTGTTATTTGTGGAGGTAAAACTTCGACGTTGCATTTGTTTCCCCAAGAAAGAAAACGCAAACGAAGGCAGGGGAAGAGTCATGTTGCTGTTAGCCAATCAGAGGCCAGATGTTTGCATATCATGAATATCAGTAAGACTCATAACCACCAACCCCACAAACTTCTACCCCTGAAACAGGAGCGCCAGAGCTTTCCCCCCAATGAAAACAACTCGCATGGCATTCACCAACGCTAGATACCACAGCAGATCTATCGAATTAACGAGTGTATGCCCGCTTTAAAGACAGAACAATGATATTTTTGTTTTTTTAATTTCTTAATCACACTCCCAAGCATTTTCACACACTGTCTACTCAATGTGAGCCCTACACTGAAAATTCCACATTAACTGGAGCAGATTTCAAGTATTTCTATCAGTCATTTGAACCGACTGTGAGCAGATTAACATTGGGACTGCATCAGGATGGCTGAAATGCACCCAAAACCTTGGGTCCTGAGCCGAGCTGTAATTCTCAGCTTACAGACACACACACACACACACACACACACACACACACACACACACACACACACACACACACACACACACACACACACACACACACACACAGGCTGTCACTCACCCCGAGGTCTATTAGTGTTCTAACTGCAGTGTATGCCGCCTCCTCGGAGCAGCTCTCTGTGAGATACAACACAAAGGCACACATGAATCAAAAGAACAGGCACGTTTCCAATAAAGAAAATCAGGTCGGGATAACAGAACAAAGCCACAATCAGTGGGACTGTAATTGTTATACTACATATTATCGAGGGGTGCCATTTGAGTGAATTCTCTGTGTCTTATGTGTTATTTCAGTAATGTGAGAGCACGGGATGCGAGTGTGTGGGAGCTGCACTGGTGTGCCTCTTTGGCTTCAGCTGATTTGTTGGAACACAGTCTGAATCAGTGGGAGAAGGAAAGGTGGCGAGCTTTTAAAAGTTACAACACAAAGAAATACAGGATCTCTGGGTGAGTGTGCGTTTTTGGAAAAGGGTGTCAGGTCGATCTCACCATAGTGCCGTTTCTTCTGATTTGCTGTGTCACAAAGATGGGAGTGTATCCGAGATATGAACTCTGCCTCTACAGCGGGAAAGACAAGAAAATAGAGGCATTACTCCAGCAAAGCAAAGCAATGACAGTCTGCTGAAATGGTAGATGGCCTCTTTATGCTTCAGCGACATGCTCCCACATTATACATTTGTGGCTGGTTCAGCAGGTCACTGCAGTTGGCTAAGGGTGAAACATGAACATCTGCGAAACATCGAAATTCATTTCATCCCCACACCTACTCCGATATTTTGATTTAAAAGGGAAAACAGAGTCCTTTCCACTCTTTTTACCTAAATCTATTAAAATGATCTCCAACCAAAATCAGATCACAAAATAACTTATAACAAAGAAAACTTTCCCTTAAGAGTATTTGTACCAGGCAGAGGAGCGGCAATCAGGTCCAGTGCCATGGTGGTCCAGCAGAGCGCCCTCAGATGTCCAGACAACATACTGCAGAGGAAAACGAGCAAGTCTGGACACTGGCTCGGCTGGCTTATCTAGGAAAAAAGACAAACAAAGCAGGAGAAGAAATAAAAAATGAGGAAGTGTGGGAGTGAACTAGATTTTCTACTGAAACTGTCTACCAGAAAGATGAACGGCAGGAAGCAACTGCTCAAAGTTGTCCTGGAGGTTTCAGCATTATTTTAACATGGATGTCACGCATTCAGCAACACTACTCTTGTTTTTTTAGAGTTCCTTCACTGAGAAACAATTTTTTTTAATTATCAGTCACTCTTGAGTTTTTCCACGCAGGCTGAACATGAAAATAGTCTCCCACACCAGAGTCCTGCTTTAGCTTCTGATAGAAAAGACAGTAAAATTCTAGGATTTGAAAAGCCTGACAGATCTACGTCAGGTGGTCGGTTGGACTCACCCACCTTAGCTCGCGACGGTGAAGGCTATTGTTGGTTTAGCATCCAGGAGACAGCAGAGAATGTCTCGGCTAATAAAAGCTAACCTTTAGCATTAGCAACTCCACAACAGAGCAGAACTCCTTCAGACTTCAATTATTTGTGGAGATAAAACATCCATGTCGCACAGCAGTCAGTGGTAGAGTAGAACCGAACCATTAATTGCATATGCAGTTAAATAGCGATGTGACAAAAGGAGATTTTCTAATCGCAAAGGCTGCGATTTGACTGGCACCAAGTGGTTAGCACAATGCTAATATCAATGGAAAAACTCAGGGATGCTAATGCTAATATCGCCAATTACATTTTTACAAATTATAAATTAGAAAAGTGCAAAATTATTGCATTTGGAGTCTAATAAAAAGTAAAAACTGCCATCAATCAAATAAGTACAGAGAGACATTTTAGTAAAGCTAGAAAACCATAGGAGACCAACTCCACTGAGTTTTGGCTAGCAGCTGTGAACATAACTAACTACGGAAGCTCTGCATGGACAAGACGTCAAAAACTCTAAACACAAAAGACTTCTATAAGTGGATCACACTTCTTTCCTGCAAAAAAATTTCACAGTTGATGCTAACACATATGCTCCTTCAAGGGATGTGCTCCTGGCTGCAAAGCATTGCACCTACAAATACAAAATGTTGTCTTTATTTGTGAGTGTTTATGTATATGTAGACAATAGGGATGTACGTAGTTAACCGGTTAATTGCCGTTAATGTTGTAAACGGGTAAAATGGTTTGGCCTGGTTAACTGCTTCAAGTCCTTTTGTGCCACTAGAGGGTGGAGAAGCGCTGCTATCAAATATGTTAACTTGGTCACCACAGAAGAAGAAATGAGCTCGTCATAATGACCAAACAAATGTGCTCAAACATGAAGCGGTTAGCAGTTTATTCTTAGTTATTTCATTCTTGGAACACAATAAGCCTCACATTAAACCGCTGAGCCTGGCAGAACATGGCGCAGCAAACTGAACCGAGACTAGCAAACGGTCAGTGTGTCATGACGCTCCTGCAATAGCAATATTGAAGAAAAAAAATCGCAATTAGATTTCTTTCCAGAATCATTCAGCTCTATGGTAGAGTCACGTTGCTGTCATCCAATCAGAGAAAAGATGCCCACATATCAGGAAATAAGACTCCAAATGCCGTCGCCTGAAGCTACTTTGTCGGATCGCTGAAACAAGTGCATCCTAATTGCTCTTTGAATTATTATTATTATTATTAATAATAATAATTTAAGCTAACAGCCTAAGAAAACACCAAGATTTCGGTTATCTGCACAATAACAAATAAACATTTTCAATTCCAGATTTTCCACAAAAAATATTTAATCATTTAATTTTCAACACGATAAATTATTGTCCATCATACTGTACTTGTGTGTATCAGTATCTAAACAGATGCTTTTCTAATCATGACTGTCTTCAGGAATATAAAATAAATATTTGTGTGTGGTTCAAGTAAAACCTGTTTATATTCTGTTACTCTACTGCAGCAACAACAACCTTAAATTTCAACCGCTGAGACCAACACTACTATTTTGAAGGATCCAAAGGTAATTACTTGTGTTTCTTGGACCAAGCTGTCCTTTTCCTGCTCTTGCGGATCACCCCTGCAGTGGTGCAACAGTTTTACTATGAAGGGCTGATCCACACAGTCTCCTCCAAACAACTGATGTTAAGATGTGTCTGCTGTTTGAACTCGGGGAAGCATTGATGTGGGTTAATCCACAGCAAAGGGGACTCTCAGTGCCCCTCTCCAGGGGCGGTCCTCTTGAGAGTCAGTTTCATCACGGTGTTTGATGGTTTGTGTGACTGCACTTGAAGAAACTTTTTTTTGGAGTTTTTTTGAACTGACAGTCCTTCATGTTTTAAGGTAACAATGGACTTATTTCACTCTACTAAGCTGAACCTTTGTTGTTATATTTAATAAAAATCTTCCTTATCTGACAAAAAGTGTATTTCTTTTATTTATCTAGCTTTAACACCAAAAGGCAACAACTAAAACACGCAGCACTAACTAAACGTTATGAGCCTCCGCAAAAATCATAAAACTACATTTTTAGACAAATCTCACGTTTTTCTCAGCTTCCTTGTTCAGACTTATCCTTACTTCAGAAGTCTTAAGGTCTTGCTATAAAAACTGTAATAAATTGTAATTTTGTAATGTGGGAAGTCGTTAAAGAAGGTTTATGAAATCACTTCTTTTATAATCATAACAAAAATATGAGCATAAACTGTAGTGTGAAGCACAGCTGGGCTGTGAAATTGACAAACAATTCTTAGTCATCATGAAGGTCTCTCATGAGTGTAGGGTATTTTTATTTCTAAAATGAACCACACAGGGAGAAATCTGTAAAGTTATGTACGCTGCATGCAGCGCAGAGAGACAGATCAAAAGCCTGTCAGGCCTTCGTCCTGAAACTCTGGCTTCCTCTGCACGACAGCTGGATTTATTGAAACGAAGGGAAAAAAGGACAAAGACCTAATTCCATTCTTGGTTCTTTTTAAAACACGGGAGAGGTTTTTCTTCACCTTGCTGACGTACGTTTCGTTTGCGGCTGTAAGCATATTCAGAGCTGACGCTGATGGAGGCATCACTTCCTACTCCATTAATCCGCGGGCAGCAGAGGACGTTTTCGCCCTCTGCTGCCCGCTCTCCCCTCTTCGATGATACGGTCCCATGCGCGGTCCAGCGTGTAAACTCCATCGTCCCTGCTCATGGTCCCACATCCACGTCTCCTTATCTCGATAGCTTCCTTTATCCATCTTTTGTATTTCTGTTGTTCGGCGTTTATGATCCTTGTGTTGTCCCAGTCCATTACAGGTGCTGGCCAGTAAATTAGAATATCATCAAAAGGTTGAAGATATTTCAGTAATTCCATTCAAAACGTGAAACTTGTACATTATATTCATGCAATGCACACAGACCAATGTATTTCCAATGTTCATTACATTTAAATTTGATATTCATAAGTGACAACTAATGAAAACTCCAAATTTGGTATCTCAAAAAATTAGAATATTCTGAAAAGGCTGAATATAGAAGACACCTGCTGCCACTCTAATCAGCTGATTTACTCAAAACACCTGCAAAGGCCTTTAAAAGGTCCCTCAGTCTTGTTTTGAAGGCACCACAATCATGGGGAAGACTTCTGACTTAACAGCTGTCCAAAAGACAATCATTGACACCTTGCACAAGGAGGGCAAGACACAAAAGGTGATTGCTAAAGAAGCTGGCTGTTCGCAGAGCTCTGTGTCCAAGCACATTAACAGACAGGCGAAGGGACGGAAAAAATGTGGTAGAAAAAAGTGTACAAGCTCTAGGGATAACCGCACCCTGCAGAGAATTGTGACGACAAACCCATTCAAAAATGTGGGGGAGATCCACAAAGAGTGGACTGCAGCTGGAGTCAGCGCTTCAAGAACCACCACGAGGAGACTCATGAAAGACATGGGATTCAGGTGTCGCATTCCGTGTGTCAAGCCACTCTTGAACAAGAAACAGCGCAAGAAGCGTCTCGCCTGGGCCAAGGACAAAAAGGACTGGACTGATGCTGAGTGGTCCAAAGTTATGTTTTCTGATGAAAGCAAGTTCTGCATTTCCTTTGGAAATCAAGGACCCAGAGTCTGGAGGAAGAGCGGAGAAGCACAGAATCCACGTTGCATGAGGTCCAGTGTAAAGTTTCCACCGTCAGTGATGGTGTGGGGTGCCATGTCATCTGCCGGTGTTGGCCCACTCTGTTTCCTGAGGTCCAGCGTCAATGCAGCCGTCTACCAGGAAGTTTTAGAGCACTTCATGCTTCCTGCTGCTGACCAACTTTATGGGGATGCAGACTTCACCTTTCAACAGGACTTGGCACCTGCACACAGTGCCAAAACCACCAGCACCTGGTTCAAGGACCATGGTATCCCTGTCCTTGATTGGCCCGCAAACTCGCCTGACCTTAACCCCATAGAAAATCTATGGGGTATTGTGAAGCGGAGGATGCAATACGCTAGACCCAACAATGCAGAGGAGCTGAAGACGACTATCAGAGCAACCTGGGCTCTCATAACACCTGAGCAGTGCCACAGACTGATCGAGTCCATGCCACGCCGCATTACTGCAGTTATTGAGGCAAAAGGAGCCCCGACTAAGTATTGAGTGCTATACATGCACATTCTTTTCATGTTCATTCTTTTCAGTTGGCCAACATTAGAGAAACAAGCATTTTTTCATTGGCCTTTAGAATATTCTAATTTTCTGAGATACCAGATTTGATGTTTTCATTGGTTGTCACCTATAAATATCAAAATTAAACGTAATAAACATTGGAAATACATTGGTCTGTGTGCATTGCATGAATATAATGTACAAGTTTCACGTTTTGAATGGAATTACTGAAATATCTTCAACCTTTTGATGATATTCTAATTTACTGGCCAGCACCTGTATATGGTTTTCTCTTGTGCAGTGATCTGTTACGGCTGACTTCTTTATTGTGCTTTCTGCTTCTTGTTTTGCTGCTCTTGTGTGTTTTCGACTTGTTTTTTTCTCGCACTCCTTTCTGTGTTCTGTTGTTCGTGTGTTGAGTTGGCGTC